CTTCAAAATCACGCGTCTGACTTTGGTTGCATATGCAAATTAAATGGCGGAGTTCAGTTGTCAAACTCCAAAATATGCAAAAGAATGAGAGACAAAAGATGATAGGATATAACCCAGTAAGCATTAAAAATATACAAAGGTGTTCTCTGAAAAGGTCTTCAGCTCCTTTTTTTCGCAAAACAGCAAGAGAATTCTGCTGCCTGAGGGTTATGATCCCCAAGTGCGGCCGAAGGCCGCCTACGCAGAAAGGTGTTCTCTGCAAAAGGTGTTCAGCCCCCCCTTCTTTGGCAACACAGAAAGGAAAATTCTACTGGCTGAGGGTTATAATCCCTAGGGGCGGCCGAAGGCCGCCTACGCAGAAAGGTGTTCTCTGTAGAAGGTGTTCAGCCCCCCTTCTTTGGCAACACAGAAAGGAGAATTCTACTGCCTGAGGGTTATAATCCCTAAGTGCGGCCGCCTACGCAAAAAGTTATTCTACGCAAAAATACATTTGTTAAAAAGAACATTTTTTTTATAAAAACTTGTTTTTTCTATTTTTAATTAACTTTATTATTCTTTATTCAAATCGCCCGATATCTAATTTGGCACAATTTCTTTTATTAAAAAATCTCCGCCCCGCCCCCTCCGCCCCACCCCAAAAACGATGTGAGCGCTACTAAACATTTCCCGAGTTCTACGTAGTGAGGGTTATAATCCCTAAGCGCGGCCGGAGGCCGCCTACGCAATAAGGTGTTTCTGCAAAAGGTGTTCTGCCCCTTTTATTTGGCAACACAGAAAGAAGAATTCTATGTAGTGAGTGTTATAATCCCTACGCAGAAAGGAATTCTACGCAAAAGTACTGTGGATAAGCGTAGCTTGATTAATTATCCATTTAAGTCTACAACTCAATCTTGTAACAAATAAGGTGATTATAAAAAATGGTTTGTATATATTTCTTTAGGCGGGCGCTGTGGTGTAGTGGTAAGCAGTGCGCGCTTCCACTCCGCAGCGCCTGGGTTCAAGCCCTAGCCAAAGCAACATCGCAAAAAATTTAGAGAAAATGTTTTTTCTTATCAGCGGTCGCCCCTTGGCAGGCAATGGCAAACCTCCGAGTGTATTTCTGCCATGAAAGACAGCTTCTCATAAAAATACAATCGCCGTTCGGAGTCGGCGTAAAACTTTAGGTCCCTCCACTTTGTGTGACAACATCAAGGCGCACGCCACAAATCGGAGGAGAAGCTCGGCCAAACACAAACATATTTGTAAGCGCCAATCTATTATTATTATTATATATTTCTTTAGTATTTTTTTCCTTTAATCAATTTTGTAAAAACTAAAGAGAGTAAGATTTTCTATCGCGCGATTTTTTATTCCAAATTTTCGCCTGTGGAGCTTTTCCTTTTTCATATAAAACTGTATTTTTATATATATTTAGGGCAATTCTCTAGGGTGGGGTAACAACCCCTAAAAAAGGTCTGGAAAAGTCGGGAGGGGTACCAAACGACGCGTTTCGGCCCCCCTAATAAAAATCCGGAGGGGGGAGATAATATTATTAACCATTGAAAAGGTATGAACAAAAAAATCGCGCGATTTTTTATTAAAAATTTTCATTATTTATATATATGTGACCTGGTCTACGAAAAGGGAGCTTACGTGCGAAAACTAGTTTTCTGTGAAAAAGCTGTTAAAAGTAAGTAACTCGTTTCGTCAGTTTCTCATTATCTCGTTAATTGTTCTCCGCGCCGGACGTCCAGTAAGTGTTGTTGTTGGTCCAGTAAGTGTTGTTGTTGGTCGGAATATTATTATAGTTCATCGTGTAAGTTGCTAGTGTGGAACATTTAAAAAGTTAAAATTAAAAAAAAAATTTTAGTACACTTCTAAGCAAGTTAGGATTTTCTGCTTTTCACCACGTGAAAAAGCATCTCATCTTCCATCCGAATCAACCAAAAAGTGAAAATTGATTTTTTGACACCTAAGCCCCCTTTCCGTAGACCAGGTCACATATATTAAACGAAAGATGATACCGAAAAGCATTGAACAGTGCACACATCTCATGAGGAAAAGTGAAGTATTACGAAATACTAATACAGTGGCAGCACTACAGCTATTTTGGAATCTCGTGTTTCAGCTCGCAAAGATTGTCAACTTCTTTTTAATAACAAAATAATCTATCTTAGGTTGATAAAACTTTGTGTTTCTTTAATAAATAAGTTAAATTATATATTTTAATAGTGTTTAAAAAGTGAGAACAGGTGATTTAGTGAAGCTTTGTCGGTGTAATTGCCCATAGAAAACAACGAAATTTAGCAAGTTTTTTGTTCATAACTTTTAAATGGTTAATAATATTAGCCCCCCCCCCCCCCCC